TTTCGTTATATAATTAATTTTTTAATTAGAAGTGTTGAACAGAATTGGATAAAATCATAAAAAAAATAACAGCATGCATCTAAACTACAGATTTGATCTATAATAAAGACTATTTTAAGAAAAATGACAAATAAACAAAACACTATATATGAAAAAACAGCACTTACCGTCACGACGAATCAACTCGCAGAAGCAGAAGAGAGGAAGAAAAACAAAAATGCAAGACAAGATATATAAATAATTGTATGTTAAGATGCTGAACAGGATGAAGACCGAAACGCTATGATTCGGTACTCTTTGCCTCTCTTACAAAGAAACGCATGTACAATCATAGAAGCATATCTTGACCATATAAAAATTAAGGGAAAGTGAAACTGTAAAGAGCAAGAAGTTATTATTAGGACAAGATTCTAATTCCAACGAACTTTAACATGGGATTTGGTCCGGCAGGAAGGAAGTTTTATTTAAGAGAATGATGCTTTGAGTGCAGTATCAGCATTGTGGCCCTTGGATGAGTGAGACTTACTTTTGGATTTTAATTGTTCATGAACCTCACTGATCTAATGGTTTAGATTTTGTAGTTGGTGCAAGTTTAATCGTAAAACCATTTCCGAATATCTAATGAACTAGTTTTGGCTGATGCATTTGGGAACAAATAGCAAGGGGCATGCGCAAAGCAAAAACCTCATTTTATTTATTTTTAGGAGACCCAAAAATGAAAAGGAATACACCATTATTAGCATTTAGGGTTATCTATTCAGTTTTCAGGTAATAATTTTAAAGAAAATTAATACTACCAGCTAGTATCAGGGTTGACATGATCTAATTAACTTATTCTTATTCACTGGTATTAATTCATCTAGAGGTCTAAGTAATTATAACACCTTTACTATACAAGAAAAGGTACATAACACCTGAAAGGAAAATGTATGAATGTAATTTAATAGTTCCATTCTCAACTAGTAGGAGCTATAGAATAACTAATTAGCTGAGATTTCAATGTCACTTTTCAATTCCATCAAATCTATTTTTGGAATGGGAAAACTAATGCATATATATTAAATTGAATAAAAATAAAGCATTTCGAAAAGTACGATCAATGGAAAGAAGTGAGACAAACAGAGACAAAAACACACAAGAATCAAACTATGTACCAAAAAAAAAAAATCACACAAAAAAGAATCAAGGTTATATCCCCGATTCAGTCCCTGAACTTTCATTTTTGGATTAAAAATACCCTCGAACTAAAAAAAATACTAAAAAAATCCCTAAACTTCAATTTTTGGGATCAATTTCGTCCTTCCGTCGACGGAAGTGCCATGTCTTTTGAAATTCATCAACGCCGGCCCTGTTGCATCTGCCTGATTTTTCTCATTCTGTAAAACGGAAATGCTCCTTCCGCATCCAAATGAGACATACACAGCCAGATGAAGGTGAGCAGTTCTCCACCCTTACTTGGTTGTTGTGCATGCACATTTGGCTTACCATTAGCCGCAGCATAACAAATTAGTTCCACCCAAACCCAGTTTATTCTCTCCCAGGGATAACCATCTGTTCGCTTGAGAGGGGTAGCGAGCTCTCGAGCTGCAAATAACACAGATCTTTTTCCATCATCTCTACAGTCTACTAGTCAACTGATAGTCAGCATCGAAGTCACCCCCAAACTCAACTTTTTTGGCCAACTCGTCGAAGTCAGTTGAAAGGATTTTTCTGCTGGCATCCTTTTCATTTAAGACTGAACTCCGGCTTAGAAATGACTCGGTTTCTGCATATGAGTCATCGAATACTTTTTTCCAGTCGTTCAGCACACTTGCCATCATAGCAGGCTTCATCATTAGAAGGTTGAACATATAATCTGAAAGTAGCTTGCATATTGCTCTATGATCATTACTTCCTGTTGAAGAGCATTGTTCATCTTCTCCTCGGAAGGATCATTCTGTGGCTATATGCCATGTTAGAAGGATTTGTGTGTAATCAGACTCCTTGATGATCCTTTCAACAGGCCCCGAAATTGAAAACTGTTCAAGAATTTTGAAGCTTCTTTCAAACCAAACTCCCTTGATTCGTGGCACTGTCTTGCAAAAATTTATCACTTCCTCAAAAATGAAGCGCCAATGTGGATCTTCTTTAAAATTTTGGGAGGACTGCCATCGGATTCCTTCTATGGCTTCTAACAAACTCTTCAAGAGAAGAAATTCTGCCACTTTTTTCAACCAATTTGGATGGTCCTTCACAAGATAAGTAATAAAATTCAACTGCAGAACTTCATTAGACCATCTGTGCCTGTTGATAAATTTGTTGACGGTGATAAATCTAGTGATGAATTTGGGGAGGGATCTGGATTCCATAATATGGAAGTGAGCAATAGCAAACCAATCGGAGAAAACAAGTAATATGACAGATATGAAAATCCAATGCTAAGGCCCCAATCAACAATCCAAAGGTTAGCCACGTATCAAACTCCTCCAGCTTGTAGTGCTTCTTAACTAATGAGAATGACAGCAAGGCTCCCAAGATGCAAACCAAGTTCAAGATGCGACATACGCATCCAATCTTGGACACAACCACAGGCAACTTGGTGTGGAGTACCTCATACAAGAGGCTTAGCTCAATCTCCAACTTTCGGAGTGCATTTTCTGCAGCATGATCTGTATTTCTGCTTAGAAAGTTTGCAAAATTCTTAGCAGTTTGTTGTCTAGATTGAACTGGGCCAAGAAGTAGATTCTTGATAGATCCAAACAAGTAAACTGCTGCTTGTAATATTGACTTAGGATCAGAATCTACAAGAAAGCTGTCCATATGAATGCCAATATCTACTGGTAATATACGTGGTAGATGATCTGCAGTTCCCAAGTTTTGGAATTGCACTGGAATGGGGAGTCCGGCTGCCCAATCTCTAGGCACCCAACTACTTCCAAAACGCTCAAAGCTTGCAAGAAAAAAAGCATAGTTCCGCTCTGCATATTTGATTATGCCTGAGGGTAACACTAGGAGGGTTGGGAGCCAAAGCTTGTTTTGTGAGAAAGACTGAAGGATAAAATATATAGTTGATCCAACCTGTAACAAAAGCCCAAGCAAGTGTCTAAGCCATAACTCATTATCCTCCAGAGAGTAGGAGGTGATGCTGTCAGGGCCACCAAGATGCAACAAAAGAAAGGGTGCCCATAAAACCAGGATGTCACTACTTCCAGTGCGTACGACAAGTCCAATGGTAAATGTAGCAACCCAGTCTGCAAGCAAGTATGCCACCCATATCATGGCAACCCATTTCCCCCCTCTTTGTTTCCTCATGGATGCAAACAGAACTAAAAAAGACTGCACCAAGAAGCTTAGAATAATCAGTCCTCTAATATTCCATGTATCCCATAGCTTCTTGATGCTTTCAGCATCTAAAAACACCATCTTCTTTAGTTTGTTTTGCTTACTTTCTAACTAAAGTTATTCCAACTTTAGTAAATACCTAGATCCACCTTGAGTCCAGTACAAAAACAACCTTCCAGATTGTATATCCTACATGATAGATTATAGTTTCAATCTTTCAGAATGAAATATTATATATGACAGGTTTTGGGATGTGAAGTTAAAGGAGTGTGTTCGGTTTGGAGGATCAAATCATAAAAACAAATCAAAACTCAAAAAAGAAACAGAGTAACCTGACAAGCTAGGATTGAGGAGATAATAAGGTTGATTATTTAATTCTTGATTAAGGTTTAATAAATTTTCTTATTAGATAAAAGTTTAGTATTAAAAAAATTCTAAGCCAAACTCCAGCTTGCTCCTTGATGTTTAGTTTTTAACAACCCAAGTACGAGTTTAGCCCAGTTTTTGTGTTATGCTGTTGGAGCCAAGCTTGAGCCTGTAAAACTTACTCAATATACACAATTTGTATTTATAAACCTTAATTTTGGTATATGGTGATGAACCTAGCTACAATGACATATAGAATCATTAACAAAAATGAGAAAAGCTTAATACATTTGACTGCAAAACAATTAGCTACAAGACTGATTCCCAGAAGTAAAATAGAGAAAAGCTGCCATGGTTAATGAAAATTAAGAATCAGAAGAAAACATTTCCAATATAATATAATTAAAATTTTTTCAAAATCAATAAAATTTACCCTAAATGAGAAAATTATATATATGTTATCAAGAAATTTACATGACAAGTTAGGATGATAAAAAAAAAAAAAGCACACAGTAAGTGAGAAAATTATGGTAAGAGCTGTAGAGTAGAGCATATATGATCAAGTATTACTCACCGAGCGACTGGCAAAAGGAGGAGAGAAGACAAAGTTGGCTGTGAGAGAGGAAAGCAGTATGGGATGTAGGAACTGGCAAAGACCAAAATGCTATTATCTGGTATTCTTTATCTCTTTCACAAACAAAGAAATCTGGTATTCTTTGCTTGCTTCACAAAAAAAGAAAAGCATACAAATCTTTATTATATAAAGATAAAGTGGGAAGGCATTAAGCAGGATAGGGATATTGAGTTCAATTTGAGTCACATTGTAGGTTGCACCATTTAGCTAGTTTCTTAGGTGTCATTCTGACAAGTGGTACAGTTGCATCCTGGGAAAGAAGTTAATCCAGCACAATGGATTTCAATAGGAGCCAATTCAAATTCATTAAATTAATTTTAACATGGGATTTGGTTGGGAAGGAAGTTAAATTTAATGGACTGGTAGTTTTGGCATATGCATCTGGGAAAAACTAGGGGCATGCAAAATGCAAAGGCACTAGTTTATTTTTATGAGACCAAAAAATTAAAAACATGATTAACTTAACAGAATATGTTGAATAAGGGCTATCAGTTCTAGCCTTACCTTGGCATCCCTCAATATGTAAGTCCATATCCCTAAAACTGCTGAAGTCTTCTGTAATTAACTTTCATGATATTGTCTACAGTGAATTGATCATTTTCCCCCAAGCAATATCACCTGCAAATGCAAATCAATATATGATTTACTTTGTAGGGCATGCTGGGAATAGGAGATTTACCTTCTTTTTCTTACCTTAGTAATCTTCTCAATAAGTCCTTGCCAAAGCGGTTGAAGGCCACAAAAACTTCCAGGATCTTGGCTGTGGTAAATTGATTGTTCTGTCTAAGCAACATGACCTCTGAGGCAGGAACACAGAACCAAAGGTCTGCTGGTTGGACTCCCTGTTTTCAGTCTCCATATTTAATTTGTAAAAGCTTCAACATCAAAGAAAATGGGGTGTAGAACAACTGACCTCTTTCGTTGAAGCTTGAAATATGTACAAGTCTGGTATAACAGACAAAAGCAAAAGGTAGCGAACATGTGAACAAAACCAGCTTTTCCTAAACTTTTGCTACCTTTTCTAAAGGCATTGACCAAGTGCTTACTTTTCGTCAACTAAGCATAAAGATAAACTAGAATTAAAATGTAACAGAAAAAACTTAGAATAAACTGAACTAAATCAAGAACCCCGGGGTAGGGCAAGTGGTAGCTCCTCACATAGGGTTTCTTACTAGACTTGTTTTCGAGTCCTCCCTTCCCTTTCCCCCAAAAATCCCAAACATATTACCCTGTTCAAAAATAAATAAATAAATAGTAAACTGAACAAAATCAGTTTCATGAAGTTTAGTTCCTGCCATTTTTATTTCTTCAAAACACCAATAAAGTATGTGCAAACTTGATGTCATAGCTTCAACACCAAAATCGAAGAATTCCCATCAATTCATAAAAGCCCTAAACATCTTTAATACTTCTACATTTACCATACATATTCAACAAAGAGTTCACCAGAGCAATATGAGACTCAAAACCATTAAAAACACTTGACAACAATGCAAACCCTTGGCATAGACGAGCTCCAAGACTCTACATGGCAAATATAATGGTAATAGAGTTATGGGGCTAGGTTGAATACCTTATACCTCAGTAATGTGACCGAATTTTTCAAGTACTACACCATGTGTTGAGTGAGAAATTTTCATATTGAGTATAAACAAAGAAATTTACAGGTTAAATACAACAAGGGCCACTCCACCAATTACCATTTGGTTTTAGATTGGATGCAAGATTTGTGTTGAGACCCGCATGCATAATTTTCACACCACGTGACCTTGAAATAGAGATTGATTGCATTCATCATTCATGCCCTCCCTTGGGTTGCAACTTCGAAATTGATTATATTTTTGAGCCAAGTATGAAGTATAAAAAATATCTATATGAAGAATCCAAAAACAAACAGGAAGCAATTCAAGTTCTGTTGAGAAGAACTACATCTGACAAATGAAAATACAACTAAACATAATCCAATGAAGCATTAAGTTTTTCAAAATGAACATAAGATGACCGCTTAAAGAAAGACAACAGAAAAAGACATACAGAAAGCAAACACGAATGCCTTATTTTCATTTTTCATTTTGTGAACGTACAACTTCAATGCTGAATGTCTTGTGGTTCCCTGTAACCTCTTTGGAAAAGTGAGTTCGGAGGCCCAGATGATTCATTGCCAACCAAACAAGAGTGAGGAGTTCCTCTCCTTGACTTGGTTGCTTTGCATGCACATCTGTCCTGCAATAAATAGCTGCATAGCATGGTTATTCTACCCAAACTTGGCACATTAATTCCCATGGATAACTGTTTGACTACTTCAGCTGGCAGGCAAGCAGACATGCCGCAGCAAACACTGATGTCCTTTTATCCCTTGTCTCAGTCACATCTTTGTCCATTCCAAATAGATTTGATCATTAATTGTAAAGACACAAGGAAAATATGATCTTACACATTGAAACACTGCCAAATGATAAGGCCATCAAAGCTGCAGGCAAAAAGAAGAAGAAGAAGAAGAAGAAGAAGAAAGGAAGAGCACCTCGTTTGATTCCATCCCCAATTGCAGCAACTACAAGTACATGCTCAAAGTTGTCTCCTTTTCCCATGACTACCACATCCAGCAATGATTGTGGTCCAAGAGATCAGATTGCTATGCAACATCACATTAAAGCACCTACTGGCAGCATCTAAATTACCACATTTACAATACATGTCCGCTAGAGCTGTGTCTACCAAGTAACAGGGTGCAAGACCAGAGGAAATTTTGAATTACAAAGTTATGAGGCCACTTCCCCTGATTGAGAGCCCCACTGGATGCCCTAGCTTGGAGATGAATGACAATGTAAGTCAATGAATCAAGCTTTTGTAGGGTCATCATCATTGCATTGAATAGTAAAAATACCTTCTATAGATGGCCATTTCTGTCTGAGCATACCCAGCTATTACTGCATTCCAAGAGCTAAATCTCTCTTTCCATCCTCTGAAAACAGCACAACTTTGCTCTAGATAACCACACTTGGCATACACAGTCACAGAAGATTTCTGGACTATAATATGGATCATCATTCTCTGCCCATGAATTGGTGACCCTAAATGAAAATAACGCACCTGTGCACATGCTGAAAAAGCACTAGCTATGATGAAGTTAAATGACTCCGTTCTTTATTTCAACATCTTAGGGAAAACTTCCAGAACCTTGAGTACATAGTTGATTTTTCTC